CTTTGAACGAGTGTAGATCGTTTTATTTGTGCAGTGTAGCACATGGAAAGGCGGGAGATTCACGCAAATGGGTGTTTGATATCAATTATGGGGAGATTATTTTGGTGCATAAACGCGAGATGAAAATTTATATTAAAAGCGAAAAAACGAAACAGAGTTGAAAGTTTTTTTGTTTCAATGTCTGCTGACTTGATTGAAGTTTTAGCTTTTAGTGTTTGTCGGAAATGTGCGGTAAATATTGATAAAAATAAACAAGAAGTTCGAGTTTATTGCATACTTTATTAGGATATAAACTGCTCAGTAAAATGAACGTTACACAGTCAAATGTTTCCTAACTTTAGAAGGGGATAAATTCCGATTGCTTAGGGCTATTTGGTCTTTGACCCCCATGTTTTGGTACAAATTAAGCATCTCAGATAAATTTCCTACAGGGCGGCAAACAAAAAAATTCAAATTTTGCAAAGTTCGGCAGGCTCCTAATTGGACCAAAAGGGTTTTTCGTATCCCAACACCAAAAACTTAAAGATACACCAGATTCGAAACGGGGTTTGAATTATTCGGCCGTCTGTTCTATTTACAGGCGGGTCTAAAAAAATCACCTTTATGGTTTCACAGCAACAACTTTTCTGCTCTTGGATCGATTTAGAGCTCATGTTGAAGCTAAACTTCATAGACAATTTAAGACAAAAGTTGGACATACAGGGGTGCATTAGAAATGATCCAAATCAGAGTTGCTCCTGAAATCTGTGAATCTGGCACATTTTCAACTGAACTGAAGTTCACTTTCAAATATTTCGTTCATTTATGCAACTCAGAATATCGAAGTTCCAACTTTAGAACGGTTTTGAAAATCCGTTCAAGGGAAAAATTTCTCCAAGGCCAGAAAGTTGATTTTTCAAAAATCACTGTTTAAACAAACGAGGCGGTCGTAAAATTAAAAATTTTCTTCGACCTGAATGCCTGTTGTGTTGAAAAACGTTCTTTTGTCCACCTGATAATGAGATTTTCACATGAGTACCACGCCCTTCATGTTCGCTGTTTATCCAAGACAATTCTTGTTGATGTTTTTATACGATTTATAAATGTTTATGATATAAATTATAATCTTGGACAAAACAGCCATTCTTTTGAGCCTTCACCGGTACCATTAATTTACTAATTTTAAATCGGTGCCGCTAAATGGCTTTATGCAGGTTTTTAAACACTGAGCGATATCTGGGTCAGTTGCTGAGCAAAATGCAATTCGTCTTACGAACAAAAGCCTTCTGTTCAGGTTCCGATGGCCAAATCTCAGTTCCAAGAACACTTGAAAACGGTAGTCGATGGCCAAAGAAACCAAGTGTCCACCTATGGACTGTTCGATTGGTGCTTAAGTAAAGTGGTGCGGGTTAGCCATTGGGTGGCCCCAATTTAAGTAATCGTAACACGCATTTTAAGAGGTTTTTGGTTTACTTTTACAACCTTCGATAGCTCAGTTGGTAGAGCGGTGGACTGTAGATGGTTGAGGTTGTGGAAATCCATAGGTCGCTGGTTCAAATCCGGCTCGAAGGAACCTTTTGCTTCCAGTAACGACCTTTTGAGGACATATTTGGCTGCATTGTCATTTTGCTTTAATAGTCGGCAAACTTCCGAGTCTTTATTATGATATTTGGTGTTTAATAATCGAAATCTTTGTCATCATTGGCTTTTAAATAAATTTGTTTCTTGCCTATTTCGTTGCAAGATCCTATAGAACATCCATAGAGTTCGCTGTCGACTTTGATTCGAATTTGCAAAATTTGTCTACATTGTTTCTTTTTCCAGTTAATTTTTCTTTCAAACTGAGTGCTCCTGACCGCTGATGGTAACGCATCGGAAAAACAAATGCTTGATCATTCAAAGCAAGCAAATAATGCAAGCACATTGGTTAATAGTCCAATACGACAAGCTGATTGCATAATCTAATAATAACATCAAGCAGGAAGTCTTTCGACAAATAAGTCTTTCACCTTTGACACTGTGAACCAATCAAGAAATGAATAAGTCATGGTCCCGGTCGTCGTGTAGAGTTGATGGGAATTTCAGCTGGTTCAAAATCTACAGTCATTTTTATGCAAGTTGGAATCGCTCGCTGATCGTTGTTTTGAATAATTAACCGCATTCAATCCGAGCTGATTGTTAAACGTGATTTTCTCATTTCAGAAACTTGGAGAGATAAAAATGGTTGCTTAATTTGTCGGTGTTTTATAAGGAAAAGCCCTTAGTAGATTGATTTTTTATTGCAATTTTTTGTCCCTGCAAACATAAACTTTTCCTGCAATTTGTCATTCTACGATACCAGAATTCCTTTCTATTCTATTCTAAGCACATTTCTAGAGTTTCGGCTGATTCAAATGTACAGTAGTTCTCCGGATTATTTAAAAAAATTTGAACTAAAATTCAAGAGGCTTGAAAAAATTGGTGTCGTTTGGGTGGTGGTGCAACCAAGACGGGGTGGAAGATTACGGGTAATTGGAGGATATTTTTTGTAAAGTTTGTACTAAAATTCTGTCTTAATGTTTTTTACATGTCTTGACCTAATTTTGGCTCCTGTTTGGAAACTTCAGCCTTAACATGACCCCTTAGAAAAAGTCAATTGGTGTCAATTCAGGTGATCTAGGTGGCCATTCAATTATACAACCGCCATCTAAGTCATGTCTTACATTCAAATGAAAAGTGCTTCTTATGCAACCGATTTACCCAGAAACGTGTGACTCAAGGTATTGACAATTAAAAATTTTCCAAAAGTTTGTTGAAATACCTTCAAGATAGCATAATAATATATGAAGTGTGTTCAAGTATAAAATATTTAAAAAGCACACATTTACTTGCGAAATAGTGCAAGGGAAACTGTACATTTATTGATAAATTAATTCTAATTATGTTTCAATTTTTTTGCTTGAAATTTTATTTAAATTTTAAAATATTTTTATTAAAAATATTTCATTTAAAATATTAAAAATAGAAAATTTTATATTAAATGTTGTAAACATTTAAAATATATCAAAAAATATTTTAAAATTTAAATAACATTTCAAGCAAAAAAATTGAAACAGAATTAGAATTAATTTATCAATAAATGTATAGTTTCCCTTGCACTATTTCGCAAGTAAATGTGTGCTTTTTTAAATATTTTATACTTGAACATAAAGAGAATAGAGAAAATTTAAAAAACTCTGCAGACACATGAATGACCACTAATATCATTCATCAGGAACATGTTGTGCCTATTTTTCCTTTTGTCTTATTATCTCCTAATTAACATCTGATTAAACCCCGTTATTTTAAGGCAACTAAATGAACGTGAACCCGCACTTATTTAACGCTCCACCATTGCTGTTCTTGCAGTAATGATGATGCAATTCGGAATCTAAAAATATATGAAATTGTCTGTGCATTGGCATGGCCAGATTCCAAACAAAAGCGTTTTAAACGGAGACATCTGCTGTCATCGCACGTTTTGTGTTTTGTTATTGTTACAACCATTAGCGGTTTGGTTGACGAAAAAAAAAATTGCATTGACAGTTTGGTAATTGGGTTTCTTCAACATCTTCTCCTTCTAATTAGACGCGTTTTTGTGCCTTATTGTTGTTCCTGCGGACTGATGCGTTAATTGACTGTCTGATTACAGTTTAGATACCTATCTTCGCGCAGGTAGTGATTATGTTAGTTCATTAGCGATGTTAATGGAATTGGAAGTAATATTTAATTTTCTATTGCTATTTCTACAAGATTTTTTTCTTTGCCATTGGGCTCCTAGGGATTTATTGATTTTTTTGCAATATTATATTGCAATAAGTTGTCTCTCTTTTTAGAAGAGTCAAGATTTTTACATCCAATTCTTGTTTTTTATATTCGAAATTCTGTTCAACAACCGAAATTGGAAAAAGTACTTTTGATTTTTCACAAACAGATAAGCAAAAATGGTTGTTTCGATTAAGTGTAGAATTTTTGCTCAACAATGACATATTCTGTATCCATAAACTAATAATTTAAGAGAAAAGTCGACATACAAAATGATAAAAAAAAACTTGAACCCACTTGAATACAAAGTTCCGCCGAAAACAGAAGAACAGAAAGTAGCTGGCAAAAATTCTGATTTCTGTCTCCCGCTTTCGTTTCGTTGCATAAACAAATGCATTTCAAATGTATTTTAAGCCTGTTCTGCTTTGCTTTTATAACATTTGCAATATTAATTTTTTTGTAAAATTTCAAGTTCTGGATCGATTAATAATTTACATTTACATGTAATAAAAGCCACTAAATAAATAAGCACTTTCCACTCTTCCCATGCAAATAACAGAAGACATCTCATGACGAATTTCGAACTATTAGTCATCATCAGTTCATCTTGGCCTACTTGCTTTTTGCTCAGAATGTGCAAGTCAATAGAGCATTGGAGTAGGACTTGCCGAGAAAAATTGATTTTGATTGATGCATCCTTTAGGAATCCAATTAATAATGAATAACCTGTTGCCAGCAATTCGCCCCACCTAAATGGTTTTTTACTACTGTAGAAGTGTTTAATAATCATTGTATAGCAAATATCAGAGGATGAACCGCTTTAACGCCTTTCAGCTGTTTATAGTGGAAAAAATACACAGTTTTAGGCGGTCTAGCAGTAGCATAAACCGGCATTCAGACTATGCTTTAGAAAATAAAACTTAGGAATATCAAAACATGATCGCGATGGAACAAATAATGTCAATAGCCTTTGTTGGACATTCAATATTCCTACTATTCGTATCAAAAAAATATYAAAAATAAATAATTATCAGAATACGTTTGTTTTATTGGTGACGAGGGCAAAACATTTAAAAGCAAAAAATTGATGAAATATTTCGCCTCTAAGTATTTTTTACACACGAAAAATTATTGAATTTGGGGGATGCGCTATTAATTSAATTTAAAAAATAGCGTATTCRCCATTCTGTCTGATTGTCGATGTTTTGTATTAATTAGTGTTTTCTTGGTTGCTTCAGCAAGACTATTTAACGAATTTTGGCTACATGCCCAAGTCGGCAGATGGCGCGTTTGCTTTGAGGACAGAGGAATCGATACGGAGTGCTATCAAAGAGATGCAGGAATTTGCTGGAGTTCCCGTTACTGGAAAGCTAGATGCCAGGACGATGAAACTGATGAAAACGCCCAGGTATTAATTTTAAAAATTCTTGTGAACTCCACAATTTGATCGACGTTTTTTAGAAATTTTGACTTGATGATTTGTATGAAAAATAATATACATAATCGAAAAAAATGTTTTTTTATTTTAAGGTTCTATTTCAAAAAAATATTGTTCCGTGTTTGATTTAATTTGAAATTAATTGTGCATGTTAAATGGAGTAACTGTATCTAACAAATGTAACTGGTGATGAATCGAAATTCGATCTTTAATCTTTCTTCTCAAAGAAAAGTGACGATTTGAGGCAAAAAACTTAACATTTTTCGATGTTTTCAGATGCGGCTTACCCGACAAAGAAATCGGACTTACATCAGGCAGGCGGAAAAGATACTCAATTCACGGCATGAAGTGGCCTTATACGGACCTAACTTGGAGGTGAGTTTATTTTGATATGAAATCAACTTAAATAAATTACTGCATTAATTATTATAAACCGGAAGAATTAAGACAACTGAATAAAAATATGAGTTAAAATTGGTTTTGGCAACAAAACAGCTTTGAAAACGGTTGATCAGGTAAAAATTATAAAAGAACTAAAATGTCTTCCAAGTTAACTAAATTAAAGCTAATTTATGAAAATAATGAAGACAAAAAAAGTTACAAAAAAGTTACGCCCGAGCAGGGACTTGAACCCTGGACCCTTGGATTAAAAGTCCAATGCTCTACCAACTGAGCTACCCGGGCTTATGGTGATTACTTCTCATTCTCAGAACACGTCTTGCTTTAGCGGGGCCTTTTTTATAAACATCTTAATCATTAAGCAAAAGGCTTCCAAAAAAGAATACGCAAATTGGGGATTTTCTATCCTGTATTACGAATTTAATACAAGCGATTAAAGCGTGACTATTATGTATTTCCAAATGTGAAGGAATTAATCCAACAAAAATCGTCGCTCAGAGCTTCTCCACTCACTTCAAAAGATTTTCATGGGTTGATTGATTTTTATGAATCCCATACGAATACTGCGTGATTAAAGCTCAAAAGGCGAACCTCCAGTCGCGTGCTTTACCATCTTTTGAATTACTTAAGCTGCTTAAAATCCGTCTAGACCAGCAGGTTTTAAATATTTTCGGAATATCTTCCTAATTAATTGAATTTTGAACAATTCGGCTCTTTTCCAGCAACTTCCACATTCTCCCCCTTTGCCAGTCCGTATTCAGACCGTTTTCACAGTGCCGAGCTCTTTTAACGAATGTTTATCTGCAGACATTCAAATTAAAACTACGAACGACTTCGACTCCGTTCAGTTCATACTACTAGGTAACACAATTAAATCTGAATAATTGATCTAATTTTTCACTTGACTTAGCCGCCATTTCTCACGGCTCTTGACTCCATTTAGCAACGGATTTGCCGATTCGATTATGACGAAAATGCGGGAAAATTTTAATTAGAAAAATACGCCATTCGGATAGTGGTGCAAGCTCTACTAAACTTCTATAAGATTTCGTGAAAATTAATTAATTCTTTCCTGCCCCACGATTTGCGATATGAGAACAAATTTAATTGAAACCATTAAAACGTACCAATATATGGATCCATTTTTGGTTGGTTCGAAGATTTTCGAACTGCGGAAGTAAAACAGATTTCAAAAGTTTAAGAAACTCGTTTACGCTATATTTTAACCGCATATTTTACCATTCATTCCACATAGCTTTTCTCTAGTGTTTTAATCACAGCTCATTTGCTGGTCTTCATAGACTGATCACCATTTATTGGATTTTCATTATTCCTTCTGAACCATATCCTGTACAGGTTGTTCCATAAATAGACCGATAAACTTTCGGGTTGGTAGGCGGACATGAAAATTAGCATGTCCGATTCATAACAATATGACCAAAAACTCAGCTTTTTCGAGATTGAAATCGTCGCCCTAACGGAAGAAAAATTTTCGCTCTTACTAAACTGCTTCTAACTTTTCTTGGGCAGTAAATGACCTAAGGGCACATTGATTAGCAATGCCTTTTATTGGTAATTACTGGTAAGCGACAAATTCTACTATCGTCTAATCCTGGGACAATCACATGGCATGCATTAATTGATACTTTGGCAAATAACTCGAAAATGGCGCAGATACGAAGGAAAATGCAAGAAACTTTGTAAATTAAACAGACGAGTAACTATAAATGATGAATGTTTTAAAAATTGCAATAGTTGCAACGGAAAAAGAACTCAAAAGCACTAAATTAAACACCTTCTATCTCACCAAGTTGTGGATTTATTTCTGAAACACCCGGTACCCGGCAAAAAGTAAGACAAACATGTTTCTTCTACAAGATACACAATTTTTATTAAGTCTCGTACGGATTTTATATGCAATACATTTTTAAGGCAATCTTTTATTTAAATGTATGTTAATTTTAACTGTTTTTAGTTTGCTTTTTGCCATTTCTTGTAATATTGCACATTAGGAAATCAAAATCATGAGTCGATAAACTATATTCGAAAAAACGCTTTATTAAGGAAATACAGGTTGTTTAAGTTTGGATTGAAAAAATCAAATTTATTAATTGTTGCCAGACGCCTGTCGATATTTAAACGAATTTTTTACAGGCTCGAACTCCAAACGAGAGAGCATATTTTGCAAGAAAACTATTTTTTTTTGTTTTGTCCGTGGCGCTGGACTAACACGTTAATCGATGTTTTTGAATAAAAAATGATTATGTTAAAAATCACATTTGGATTCTTTATGTATTTTGAGAAAAAGTTGCCTTTCAATTTATCTGAACTCAACGTTTTCAAGTAAAAAATAAAAAAAATTATAATAAAATGGCATAAAATCACAATATCTATCTGTGATGTTCCTCAACAACCAGACCTATAGAAATTGTCCAAAATTCATTAGTTAGACGGTCTCAATTGCACTACTAAATGAACAACATTTTAAACAATAATTTCATTAAATGATTATCAATTATTTTTCAATTGAATACACCGATTTTTCCAGAGAGCTCGAAGAATCCAATATGTTATTTTATGAAAAGCATTGGCGTATCAATTTTTTGATTGAATAACTCTATTAACGTGTTAGTAAATTAAATTTTTTAACAAATAATTTTTGAAACCATACTTAGACGCCTTATTTCCTTAACGAAGCGTTTGCCGAGTACAGTTTGTAATGCGAACTCATATAGTTTTTCGATTCTCTATCGTTTCCTGCAGTTTTCGCTGAGAACACTGCATCCTACTGTATATATACAGTTTATTTGTCGTTTTATTGAATCATCAAGTAACTCAAAAACAATAGGAGTTACATAAACAACACGAAAGGCAAAAAAGTTTCCAAATTGAATGGGCAAACAAATGTTTAAGAATAAAACAGCAGTGGATCTCCACAAAAGAGATCAGACCCTAATAACTTAGCTATAATTTGAAAGTTGAGATGATTCCTTATCTGCTTCAGGAGCTGCACAGAAAAAGCCCATTTACATTTACTTTTTTGGGCTAGTATTACTCTTTCTTTATCATTTCTTTTCTTCAAGTTTGTTTCCATATCAGAGATATTCCTCTCGTAGATAATAATGAACTTTTAGCTGAAATTACCGATATGAGGATGTCCTAATTGTATCAGACTACTTAGTTCCAAGCCACATCAAACGGCAAATATGAATCAAACCGAACCCTTTTCCTGGGTAAACAATTTTCGAAAATTTAAGATAGATAATTCCCTCGGGAAGTTCGAAGGCACAGTGACACGCTTCTTTGTCACACTGGAAAGTGTTGCGGCTTGGCTGAGATTGACGTACAAAGTGGGACTTATCGATGAGGCACTCTACATTACCCACAGGCACTTACAGGGACTTTTCCAGGAATTACCACCATCGCTTTTCCAATATTGCGATTATTAGATTACCGCATCGTCTAGTGAATTTTGTTCCCTGATCGAGACGTATGTGTGCTTGCATCTTCTAAATCAACTTCACGTCGTCTATTTCGACATTCATTGGAGTCAATCTGTATGTTTTTTACACTATTTCAACTACCCTAATAGGAGTTAGTGAAAAATTTCATCTGAAGAACCATTCATTTGATTCAACGATAATATCAATACCATCAGCACTTAGCACCTACTAATAGTCCCAATACGCTAAACGATAATTGCATTTTCAACTTCCCTAAGATAATGGATATGCTTAATCAAATGCCCCAGGAATTAAAATCCATTTGAAAAAGTGCGCTAGAAAGATGTTTAAGTTAATTAGACAATATGAAGTGTAAGAGCACTAATAAAGCATAAGTTAATTAGGTTAGATGAAATTATATCGATAAGGAATTCCATTTGGGCTGATATTTTTTGCTGTCGTCTCTTGGAGCTTTTAAGTGCCCCCCTATTTATAGATTCAAGGAAAAAGTTGTTTGGAGTAAAAACTGCGTGTGCAAGTACTCTGGGTGTTTTCAGGAAAAACGTACAAAAAATTCAATGGAGCCAATCAGACGGGTCGTTAACCTGACAACAGTGATGAAAATTTTATTTGTCTATTAACTGGCTAGTGTTCCATGTCGAACACAAATACCTAGTGAACGTATAAAACGGATCGTCGATTATTTATGGGAAAGGCAAACGAAGTTCGGCTGTCCTCCGCGTTTCAACATTTGTAACGTGAAATTAATTAACTTTTGTACGGTGCCCTAATAAAATTTTCTTCTAGGTAATTTACTTGTCAACTGCAAGCACTGTAACTGTAAATAAATAAGAGTAAATGGGAAGTGAATAAACGAGTAAAGTTTTAATTTTTTAAAATATTCAATACAAATTCAAGAACATATAAGAATCCACGCGAAGAATACAAACTACTATACGCCGACGACACTGCACTGATCGTCCACGTTAGAACGACATCAAAAGGGGAACTTAATACTAAAAGCCACAAAAAACCAGCTAACTTTACTAATCCATCAAATTCTCGCCAAGAATAATCATATAATTACTCCAAAACAATAACTAAAATATCTAGAAATAATCAAAATTAATTCCTGGGTTTCAGTCATTTATTGTCTTTATTTATCAATTAAAATACGTTTTTAGTATATTTTTACGGTGCTTTTTGTGTGCATTTCTTTGTATAGTAAGGTCGCGCTCGAAATGGTGTTGTCCTTATATTTTTACGTTTTCTACGTTCGGGTTTTGTGAATTTAAACTGCTCAGAAAATTCATCGTTACACTATCAAATTTGTTCAAACTTTGAACCTGATGAACTCATGAACTTTAAAACTGGATGAAATTTTATTGCTGCAATCGATTTCATTTCGGTTTGAAGCGATATTTACTTCAATTCTTTTTTTGGCAATCCAATGTTTTTGCATAAATTACGTACTTTTGATAAATTTCGTACAGGGTGAACAATACAGCGAAAATGTTCTGAAAGTCTGGCATG